ACAGCCCTGAAGCACACCCTTCTTGATCTTAAACTCTGCAGTATCCCCTTGTTCTCTTTGAGCAACTGCCTCTTGGTCTATGTGCAGGTTCCTCATGAGCACAATTAAGTGTTCAGGAATTCCCATTCTTCACAATATTATCCATAATTCGTTATGATACACACAGTCAAAGGCCTTTGCGTAGTCAATAAAACACAGGTAAACATCTTTCTGGTATTATTTGCTTTCAGCCAGGATCCATCTGACATTAGTTGAGAAAAATAGTGGGAAATAAATCTGAAAAGGTATGTTGAAGTCAGACTACAAGTGACCTTACCGGGCAGGTTCAGGAATCTGGATTGTTTTTAGCAAGCATGAGGGTGCCGATGACTCCATGTAAGCAAGGAAGTAACAGGGCCCCAAAACAGTATTATAAAAATATCAATCTGATAGCCTTGAGTGGGAAACACTGACGGGTCTTAGGGAGACAGAAGATAGAGGCAAAGGGAATCATAAAAGGCTATCAAGCAGGTCAAGGATGAGAAAGTAAAAACCTTTAATAGTGGGAAAAGATTATTTTTAAAAAAATGGATGAATACAAGAGAAAACAGAAAAAAATATCAAAAGGGACTCTCTGACTGATTAGGTATTGGTGGAGGGGCAGCAGGTTTGCCTTAAGAGTCTACTCTTTGGGTACAGGAACAGAGAAAGTAGGTATAAATTATATTTATTTCAACACTAGGATTAATTCTGAAAATAGACAGGTCACTTAGTTCCTAATAAACAGCCTGCTCCTAATGTAGCACTAAGGTACTACTAACACTTAGTTCAACTGACCCCCCTGCTCTTTGCAAAAGGCTAGGGGTTGATCACATAAAAAAGTGAACCCAGTTCCAGACTGCCCCAGTGGGACAACAATGGCACACCCCAAATGCAATGCAAATCATTCTTTGTCTCAACATTCACCCTCGTAGGATTTCCTCAGTAGTAAATGCATACTTAAATAACATTAAGGGCATCAGATGCCCACAATTCAAACTTAAAAATAAAAAGCAGAAAACTGAACAAAAACTGAGGTTCTGAAAAGGATTAGTTCCATGTAGAATAAGATATACAAATTATATACCTAACAAAGTAAGAAATGAGTGGTTAGATCAGTAAGAAAAAGCAAACACTTAGGGAAGAGATCAGCAGGGATGAATTAATACTAAATTTTTATTCCATATTTTTGATATTCATTCTCCCAATACACGTGTCCCCAAAAGAATATTCTTCACCCATACCTGCATTTTTTTTCATCTCTATATTTACAACTACAATCCTAGACGAGATCCAGCTAGTTCAAGCCTGGTCCCCTTTCCATTAGTCCATTCTATGAGCAACACCAGAATGTGTTTGATTTACAACCTTGTATTAATCATCAAAGCCTTCCGGGGGCTTTAGATGTCTGCTGGCTCAAGCAGAAGCTCATCTGCTGACTTCAAGGCTCTCCGTCGTTCGCTCCCATTCTACCTACCCAGCTTCCAACACTTTTATCCTCGCTCGTTTTTTTAAAACCTCACTCTTTCCAAGGGAATCTTAAATTTTTCACACATGGTCTTTTTACTTTTCACCTTTCCTTTTGCCTTTATTCAAGATGTCTCTTATGCCTGGAAGAGCCTGCTCACCCAATTCACTAATACATGTTCCTCACATCCCTGGACTTGACTGAAAATACTTCTATGACTCTCCCCAAATTATTTTTCTGCTCCAGTTTATTCTTATGTGTTGAATTTATCATTTCTAGTCATGTTAATGCCACATGCAGCAAATATTCATTAAGTCAAAATAGGCTGATTCTGAGATTGGTTTTTACAGAGATTAGTTGGTCAATCAATAAGGTTTTGTAGTGTATGAGGGCTTGAGTAAACAGCACAGGAATCTGTTGCTAATACAAGCTGCAAGCTCCATAACATTCATTTTAAATGACCTGCCAAAATACTGACTTACCAAACACAGTGGACATTAAAAAAACTCCCTATTAACCATGATTTAGAATTTAGCCATATTGTACATACAGGTATACTTTCATTATCACTCAATTATAGGAACCTACATAAACTCCATAATACTTTGTATCCAGCATGTAAAGAATAAATATTGATGATTATATGCTACTTAGTTTATAAAACAGAAAAATACACCTTAATTCTGGAAGAGAATAAAATAATGACAAACAGATTTTCATCTGCTTGTTATTGGTGCTAATTCCATATTCCAGGAGTCTTACACATTGGCAAAAGTCACCATCACTGAAAGGGGCAGGAAGAATGAAAAGGCCTCATGCCAGTTATTTCATTCTGTATTTGGTTAGGAGAGGATATGGAGCAAGAATTGCTCTGAAACAGTACATGGAAAATTTGATATATGCACTGAACTCATTTCTGGCTTCACCAATATTTTAGAGTAAATAATAGAATAAAGGAATGTCATATGGAATATGACATATTATCTTGGGGCTTGGAACAAATGTGAATCAACATCAGACCTAAGAAAGCATTCTAGAAGGCCCAAATCAAGTCAAAACAAGTTGAAAGCTATTAAGTGTAAGGTACAGATAATCTTAGATTTCTTGTTTACTGGCCTGTGCTAATATGGATAATATCTCATTAATGAGATACAGGAATTTAGTAACACTGAAATGCAACAGGCTGCAAAAAGAATCAGAACCCTAAATCCTACAAAAATAAAAGCTTTAAAAGAATAAATGATGACCATACACATACAAATTAATAAGAACCCAGCAATTTTCTAATTAAAAAATGACCAGGGTTCTATTATTACCTGGAATCTTTTGTCTACAAAAAGAAAAAGGGCTCTCTACAGTCCCATTAATTTCACTAATGATTTTGGCTACTTTCCATTCATGGGCAAAGGTGGTTGAATTACCTGATACTATTTTAAATAAAATAAAAACATTTTGCGCTAGTTGAGCCTCCTTCTAGCTATTCCCAGAATTAATATGGGAAAACTGTGGCAAAGGGTGTTATGACGTCTCTCCTGGTTTACCAAAAATAAAGAAAAGTAAGTTCTGCTTTATAGGAAGTGTGTGGGGAGGAGGGAGTATAAAGAGAAAAGTTAAAAAAAAAAAAAATACTAAGAGGAAACAGGCAACTTAGGAAATAGTGGAGCCTTAACTGGACAACTGTACTGGACTCTTACAAAGTCAATGTCATTAAAGAAAAAATGTAGAGAACCGTTCTACCATAAAAGAGACCATAGTAGCCAAATGTAATGCATGAACCCAGCCCAGGTTTTTGGTTTATAAAAAGCTATAAAAGGAATTCTTGGAACAAGTGGGGAAATGTGAATATGGACTGAATATTAGATGAGACTGTGAACTACTATCGGTTTTCTTGGGTGTAACTGTATTGTACTATAAAGAGTTTGCCCTTTTTCTTAAGAGATGCAAGCTGAAGTATTTAGTGGCAAAGGGACATGAGAACACCAATTAATTTCTAACTGGTCAGACAGACAATGTACATGTACCTATGTACATAAGGTATGGGGGTGTTCACTGTACCATCTTTTTGTGTTTTCTATGTATTTGAAATTTCTCATAATGAAATGTTGGCAAAAGTAAAGTTGGGAAATGGTGCTTGGGATGGAAGGAAGATGGTAGAGAAGAAAAGGGAAAACAACTTCATTATCTTAAATGATTTGTATTCTAAAAGGTGAAATACTAAATTGGAAAAATAGGAATATGGTGGGAGAAGAAAAACCAAGTATTCATGAGAATTATTAGAATGTCCAGATCTGAATTTCTGAAGAAAACGGTTCTCTCTCAAACAGAGGTCAGAGAGCTTTCAATCATGAAGGCTCTAGGGAAACAAGTAAATTCCAAGAAAGAATGCAAGGACTGGGCTCCGGGGTTTTAATCTGCTCTCTGAGTCACAGCTGAAACAATTCCATGGCAACAGAGCAGATCCCACTCAGACAGGCCAGCAGCCTGCCTGCTGCTCTAGCCCTCCCCTTGTAGACGATACAATCACTTGCTCTAGCTTGACCACAAGGAGAGCGAGAATATTAATGCGAATGATAACATTTGGAGGGCACTTGACCTAGTTTTCTTTGGAAAAAGACCAAGAATATACATTCATAGCCCAAAGAGGTCTGCACACAACCCCAACCATCTCTGCATTTAGAAGGGTGGCCTTGAGCTCAATCAATTTCTGTTACTGAAGAGAATAAACGCCTCCCTCCTAAGGCCCTGAAACTAGAGCTTGGCTTGGTGGTACTGAAATCATCCTTCTTTCCTTTCTTAAATGAGGCACATTAAATAAGTATCAAATCTAAACACACTTTATAAACATTTGGGATGCTGATAAAATGCAGATTCCTTGACCCCCTATACCCTGAGATTCTGAACTCTGTTGCTAGAGGTGGGGGAGGGGGAAGAAGGGGAGGAACCTGTCTGTGTGTGTGATAAGCAGCCCTGGGGATTGTGACACAGGTATTAGAGACTTCACTTGTAAGTCTGTGCTGCAGTAAGTAACGAAGTTTCACCCTGATTAGAAAAAAATACAGTATAGTGAGGAACACTGGATGGAGAATCAGAAAATCGGGGTGACGGTTCTGTCACTAACTTATTTGTCTGGGTTTAGGGCAAGTTAATGTCTCTCTGCCTTGGTTTTCTCATATGTTAAATGGGACTAATACTACCTCCACCCAATACTAGACTTCACATGCATGCTAATATATACAAAAGTGTCTTGAAAGTATAAAGAGCTTAAAAAATTTAAAGAACTTTATCTTTGAGACTGGAGCCTTTAATCATAATCAGTGAGCTTAATATTATCTATTACATTCCTGACAAGAGCCTCTTAGCTTAAGCTAATCCAAGTAGTGCTACAGTAAAGTGACATTCTTATTTATCACTTGATAGTCCCAAAGAAAAGGGACAGCACAGAGAGAGCAAGGATATCACTTAAGTATGGTGAGAATTCTCTCTAAAGGAGGTTTGTTCTTAGGATGCTTCTTACCAAGTCTATGAGTTTGGTAACAGGAACTTCTCGAATTGGTCTTTTCATTCGGCACAAAGCCTCTAAGGATGTACCGAAGCAACTTGGGAGGTAATTTCCACTGATGGTCAAGAAGTAGTCTTTGCCTCGATCGAGGTGAAGGACAAGAATATCTTCAATCTTATCTTCCCCTGAATTCAGGATGGTCACAGAGTCTTTGCTGACATACACGTCAAGGGAAATGTCTACTGTCTCATCTGAAATATAAGAGATGATACCTGGTAACAGGGCAACTTCCAGTGGAAAAGCAAAAACAGGGGATGAGAATCAACAGAAGAAGTGTCCTGAAAAAAACCATCAAGTATTGAAAGGGAAGAGACTGGACACACAGTAAATACAATGACAGTGAAGGTAAGAGACATGTGGTTAGAAAACACGAAGTTAAACAAGGGGAGGGAACGGGAGTCAGGAGGGGACGATACACAGCAAGCAGACACAATGGTAAAGGGAAAACTCACTTGGCTCCAAGTAGCCCTCAAAAGGTTCAGCCCGAAGCCATGGCTTGCAGTACTGGCTGTCATTAAGTTTAGGGATGAAAGAAAAATGGCAGGGAACCTGTCCGTTGTTGCTGATCTGGAACTTCTCCTTTTGTAGTTGCCGAAACTTCACATTCTCAAACACAAACTGGGGAATAACAGACAGACACAAACATGCATCACTAGTAGGGGAAGTCAGTCAGTTAGATTATTCCATGGAGAATATGAATAAAGAACAAGGTACACAACGGGGCCAGCTTCACACCACTCACTTTCATATACTGTGACACCCACCCTGGCAGAGGAGTTATGTGGTTTTTGCTCCTTCTCGTTTCTGGATCCTATGACCAATTTCTATTTCCTGAGATATGAACTAACCTGCAACTCTGAAATATTAAATTAGAGCAGACAACATCTGAGGGCTCCCTATGTGCCAGGCACTGTTCTAAGAGCCTCACACGCATTAACTCATGTAATCCCAACAACCACTCCTTTTTCCAGAAAGAGAAATTGCAGCTCTGAGAGGGTAAGACACTTGCCTGTGGTCACACAGCTACTACATGGTAGTGCTAGAATTTGAACAGACAGTTGAACTCCAGTGTACACACTCTTAACTACTTTCTCTAAGTAAGATGGTTTCCTGTGTGCTAACCACAGTGGGCAGAAAGACAGAGAGGCCGTGTGTACTTTTACTCACCTCCCTCCGGCTGAGTTCTAAGGAAGGAAGGAAGTCATTTTCCATTCTGTCCATGATGCGTACAATATCTTCAAAGACTTTCCGATACCTCCGTTCATCTACAACCTTTACCTGAAAGAAAACAAACCCTGTTTTCAGTCTCACATGCTCTTAGCTCATCGTTCTTTGAGACTATATAGCAATTTCAAACTGGTCAGTACTGTAATCATTTTAAAGAAACTGTGGTGTAAGCAACGTTCTCTAACACTTTCTGACATCTCTGTGCATCCACAACTTCCACCTGAAAGAAAACAGGTCCTTATTTTAGTCTTTTTTTTTTTTTAACTTTTTAGTGTGATTTGAGTGAAAGTTTACAGAGCAAATTGGTTTTCCATTCAAAAGTTTGTACATATTTTGTTGTGTGACCTTGACTGAGATCCCCACAATGTAATAACACCCTTCCTTCCTGTGGTTATCATTTCCCTTTGTTATTCTTTCCTATCCCTTCTTGCCTGCTGAGCTTTATTCCCTGGGCAAATGCTGCCCTTTTGATCTCATATGGTTGACTGCTCTAAGGAGTAGGTACCTCCCTGGTGTTATTTTTCACCTCACATGCCTTTCTACTGTTTGGCTGAAAGCTACGCCATGGGGGTAAGTTCAGTTCTAAGCTTGAAGTGTGTATAAGGACCATAGTCTCAGGGGTTCCACCAGTCTCTATCAAACCAGTAAGCCTGGTCTTTTTTTTTTTTTTTTTTTAATGATTTTGAGGCTCCTTATTTTAGTCTTATGTGCTCCCAACTTATGTATCTCCAAGATTCTCTAACAATTTTTAAAATGTCACTTAAGGTAGCTATGAATTAAACTAAGAAATATAGAAGCATACATTTTGAGGTAAAGATAAAACCAAAAACCAAACTCACTGCCGTCAAGTTGGATCTGACTCATAGTGACCCCTCCTTGGGTTTTCCAGGCGGTATCACTATGGAAGTAGATTGCCCAACCTTCCTTCCAAGGAATGGCTTGGGGATTTGAACCACCAGCCTTCTGGTTAGCAGAGGAAAAGATAGGTAAGACTAATTGGGTAACTTCCTGGAAAAGTTAAACCTCTATGTTAAGAAACTTGGCAATAATAAATACTTGGGAAGATTATCTTGCTCCATTGGTGAATTATTTAGTGGTGGAGGAAAGAACCTGATGATTGTGGTAAACATTATTTCTTGCACTGTACTAATTAACAGTGTCAAAACACACTTGTTAGCTGCTTCTAACAGTCACCATAAAGTGGCGAAAGAGTAGAAAATACGATTAAAGGATTTAACTATATTACCTACTATACCCAATGCCAAGAATCAACACTAAGATTCTATAATGGCAAAGGTATGCTAATAAATGGCACCTATGGCCATTTTAGAAAACAGTTGACATATAATGTCCTAGACTAGATGAAAACCATGATAACCGACAAACAAATAATCTTGACTAATAGATGAAAACGTCTGCCTCCTGCCCCAACACATTAAGCTCCCTGACACCAGTTCTTTTTATTATTAAAACTTCATACAAATCAATTCCAAAAATGAATAAAATGAACATAGCACTTTATCTAGATACCAGTTTCTGTTTAGAATAGAAAACATCACAAAAACCCATGTCAAAAAGAAAAAAGGTGCAGCAGAGGTTCTAAAACAAATGTGGAATATAAAAACATCAAAACTGAGCCAGACTTCTCAAGACTGGGTAGGTGTTTACATATTTGAACTGTAAGTCTTAGAGAATTAAGAATCAAACAATCACTTTAGTGTCACCAGGATCCATACTATAGTGTTAGGTGAAGATGAATTTTAGCTGTAAATATTAACAACAGTGTCTTACACTTTTACAAAATTTTGCAACCTTTCATTTGAAAAAAAGTACTTTTTGCAACCTTTCATGTGAAAAATGTTTATGGGTGTCATTTTATTTTCACAATAACTTTGAGACTATTTGAAGCAATGATGATCATTCTTCTCCTGTTAGTTGAGAACACTGAGACACAAAAAGACCAACTAACTTGCCCGGTGCTACAGTTAATCCCAAAAGTGATCTCCAGACCTCTAGTGCAAGCCTTTTTTCAAAATACCAGATGTGATCTGTGGACTACTTGCAACAAAATCAACTTGGGAATCTCTTAAAATGAAGATTCCTGGGCCTACCAATCATAATCTCCAAGGATGGGGTCCAAGCATGTGCATATTTAAAAGCTCCCTAGATAATTCCTATGTCCACCAGATCCTGAGAACCAATGCAGCAAACCTCATTAGCAAGTGCAGGGATGAGGACACTAGTTCAGCCTGATCTCAGCCAGCCCACAGGCAAATCATCTGAAATTAATTGACCATTGAGTACTTGGCCCCTTTGTCAAAAGTCATCCATGCCAACTGTGGTAAAAATGTAACGTGGTTTTTAAAGCCTTTAATCACAGCACACCTAAGAGTCCAAAAGATGGGTGGTTACTCAATAAAATCAAACCTTTTCTCAATAGGTTACCATGACCATAGCACCTAACAGCACGTCAAGGATAATCTTAAAGGGGAAAGAAACACCAAAGAATCTCACCCTCCAATACATCCATTTTAGAAAAGGAAATTACAACAAAATTAGGAATTAAGAAAAAAGTACAATGAACTGGATCTTATGCAATAACATGGACAGTTCTCCAAGACAAACTCTTCAATTTAAAAAAAAAAATTAAAAAAGCAAGATGCAGGCCAACACACACAGTATAAGGCAATTTATGATATACATATCTATACAAAAAACAATACTAGAGTATAACCTGTGAAAACTGGAACCTGTGTAAGACAGAAACTGGTCAGAGAACTCAACTATTTTCCACTACTAGAGTACAATGAAAGGAGCTCTGGTGGCGTAGTACCTAAGGCATCTGACTGCTAACCAGACAGTTGGTGGTTCAAACTCACCAGCCACTCCACAGAAGGAAGGCTGGGCAATCTACTTCCATAAAGATCTACCATCTCAGAAACCCAAAGGGAGTCTCTATGAGTCAATATCAACTCAATGGCAGTGAGTGAGTTAGTAAGTGAGCGAGCGAGCGAGTGAGTGAGCAATGAAAAGTGGTAAGACCGCACCCTGTCAAAAGCAGAAAACTTGCAAGACCGAGAAAAAACCAAGCAGTCCTGTTGACTTCTGCCTGTCACAGGTCTCACTGTGTGTTGTTTATGGGTAAATAGAAATGCATGTGCAAAGGTTTAGAACTGTATGGCCGCTTACTTAAAATTAAAGAAAATTAGAAATTCAGTCCCTCAGCCATACTAGCCACACTGCAAGAGCTCAAGAGCCACATGCAACTAAGTAGTACCTATGGACAGCAGAGATGCAGAACATTTCCATCAGCACAGAAAGCTCGGTGCAGGGCAGCACTGGTTTAGAAAAACACACCTCCAACTGGGTAGTGTAGCTGGCCTGGCTGCAGAGTGGGGTTTAAAAATGGAGAACAGAACAAATACTGAAGAACTTCAACTTTATCTGTAAATTTTGTTTAATTTTTTTTTTATTTTAAAGAGAAAGAATTTTTGAATTCCAATGTGATCTAAAAATCATTAAAAATGAAAAAAGGTAGACCTTCATTAAATATACACAAAATTATACAGGAGGCCTGAAAATTTTAAAAATATCTTACTGGGAGCTCTGGAGTATTAAAAATATTTCAAGGTTCTGAAAATAAACACAACCAAAAAAGCCAAGCATAGCCGATTAAACCAAAGAGGCTAGTGTTTGGGAAAGGCTTCCTTTAAAAAATGGATTAAGAGAATTCAAATGAAGAAAATAGAGCAGCCCACAAACACCAAAAACCCAAACCCATAGCCATGGAGTCGATTCCAACTCATGGTGATCCTACAGGACAGAGTAGAAATGCTCCATAGGATTTCCAAGGCTGTAAATCTTCATGGAAGCAGATTGCCACATCTTTTTTCACAAAGCGGCTGGTAAGTTTGAAACCCCAACTTTTCAGTTAGCAGCTGAGAGCTTAACTACAGAGCCACCAGGGCTCCCTGGCCACAAATACAAGACAGAAATTAAATGGCCTAAAGGTAGTATCTGAAGATATATTTAGCCAGTAAGTTCTTTGGAACTACAGAGGCATTGTGGGGCAGTGGAAAGAGCACAGGCTTGGGAGTTAAACAGACTTAGAATTTGAATCTCAGCTCTTAAAGAAATCATTTAAATGTGCCAGCTCTCCATTTGTTCATCTGTCAAATGGGGAAAATGTACCTTGAAGCATTGTTGGGAAGAGAAAATGAGATGTGTGGCAACTGTCATGGGCATGTAGCACCTAGCTACGAGGTGAGGAACATTTACTCTTATTATTCATTATTATTTTCAAATTTTAAAATGGGCAAAAATTAAGTCGTGACTGTTCTGATAAAATTTAAAATCTATTATAAGGCCAAGAACAATTTTTTACTTAAAGGAAAAGTCGTAAAGTCATTCCTTTTTAAAACAGAAGCAGAACAAGACATGCTGGTGATACCTATTCAGAAGCCACAAAATCGAGAGACACAGAGGGATGAAATCTACAATCTACCGGCTCACAGTCCTTGCATGTCTTAACTCATTAATCTTCCTAAGTAGGTACCATTGGGAGCTCTGGTGGCATAGTGCCTAAGGCATTTATTTGACTGCTAGCCAGAAGGTTGGTGGTTCAAATCCACCAGCCACTCCTTGGAAGGAAGGTTGAGCAATCTACTTCTGTAGTGATATTGCCTCGGAAACCCAAGGAGGGGTCACTATGAGTCAGATCCAACTCGACGGCTGGGGGCGGGTAAGTAGGTACCATTATTATCCCCATTTTATACTGGAGGAAACTTAGGCACAGAACTTACATAAGTTACACAGTTAGAAAGTAGCAGTCTAATTATAAAGTCCATCCCATCAAGTACCACACAACACAAATTCCGACAGATTATATGCCTGCAGGTCTGGAAACCCAAAAGAAATCATCTAAATGCACTGGCTGTACTAAGTTATATCAGGAAGATTACAAGGCATATCCTACATACTAGAAACACACGGCTAGAAGATACAATGGGAAAGAATAAATTTTTATTCACAACAGGAACAAAAAGGAATAAATGTATTTTTAAAAAAGATTGCAGCCTCAACTTCCGGTAAGATGGAGGAACAGGCAGACAAGCAATACAGACCCTCTTCAACAAAGAAGAGGAAAAACCAATTGACAGAGATACAGAAGATAATCCTGGAGCCCTGAGCTTTGAAAGGAACTATACAGAAGTGGATTAGGCACCAAATAGTGGAACAACCTGAACGAAAACAGTTGAGTACAGAGACGGTCAGAGCTGCGGACTGTCAGCTACTCTGACAGGACCAACAGCCTGAATATTTCCAAGTGGTGTTGGGAACTGAGAATTGACCTAAAGATCAGCCCTGGTCACCAAGGGCTGCAGGGACAACTGCTCTGGTGGCCTATGACTAGGAAGGGAAACAGCAAGGAGGGAGACAACCATTTTGATTATTTACATACAGCAGCCATAGTGGATATTTAAAGTGACCTAGGGTGCAGCCATTTTGAATGTTTACAAGCAGTGGCCATTTTGATATTTAAAGTGACTGAGGGTGCAGCCATTTAGAATGTTTAGAAGTGGCAAGCATTTTGGATTTTAAAGTGATAGCATTCTCATTCGGATTCCAGAGACCTAAGAATAGGCTCTGTTTGCCAAGGTTGGCAGGGACATACAAGAGGCTGACAAAAGGAAAGGAGACAGGTAGTGAAATTAGGACATTTCCAGATAAGCAGAAATTAAGGGAATTTGTTAAAACCAGACCAACCTTACAAGAGATGCTAAAGGGAGCCCTTTGGACAGAGAAGCAACAACAAACAACTGACCACTAACACACATGATGATATAACCCAGAAACCAACCCAGCTATTGAAGTATCCAAGGTAATTAAG